GTCTGTATATTTCATATATAACAAACGAATGGCAAGTATGAGTACAACTGTGCCTAATGTTCCCATCAGTCATGGGGAGAAGTCCGAAAAGTTTAATGGGGCAGAGTTCAAAAGCTAGCAACAAAAAATGATATTCTACCTTATAACTCTAAATTTGAGCAAGTTCATAACTGAGACCACCCCAGTGCTATAAGAGGTTGAGACTGGCATTACAAAAGTATGAGCTATGGGAGATTTCATGTGCAAGGAGATTTCATGTGCAAGAACTACATCCTCAATGGATTAGGCAACATATTATATAATGTGTGTAGTCCTATTAATACTACTAAGGAGCTATGGGAGTCATTGGACAAGAAGTACAAGACGAAGGATGCTGGTTTGAAAAAATTCGTGGTCGAATGATTTCTGGACTTCAAAATGATGGACTCCAAGACTGTTATGAGCCAAGTGCAGGAGCTCCAGCCGATCCTACATGAGATACATGCTGAAAAGATGGCTTTAAGTGAATCTTTTCAAGTGGCTTCAATAATTGAAAATTTGCCCCCTATGATTTAGCATTTTCAATTAAAGTCATTGTTGTAGCATAAGCGTTTCTTGATGCAAGTCTCTGGAGATGATGCTTGTAATGAAAGATGTAGCTATTTTATCATCTGAGTTAAGAAGTATGTTGTCTTCCTATTCAGACTCACTTCCCTCATCTTCAAGAAGGTTGTCGGGTATATCAGGAACATCTTCCCTAACACCATGATTTTTCATGCTAAGCTCCATGTTGTGGGCTCAAGTAACAAGCTCTTCAAATGTGTGAGGCTTAATCTCTTGTAGGATATAAAGAAACTCCTAACGCATGCCTTGCATACATGCTTCAACTGCAGAAATTTCGGACAGAAGATCCTTACAATCAAGACTTAGAGCTCACCAACGGTTGATGTAGTTAACCACGGGTTCGCCCTTCATCTGTTTTGTATTTATAAGTTCCAGCATACTTACAATATGACTAGTACTGTAAAAGCGGTTGAGAAATTCTCATTCCATCTGCTCCCAACTATCAATACCTCCAACTTTGAGGTTTGTGTACCAATCAAATGCATTCCATTTGAGGGAACGAACGAATTGCTTGACAAGAAGATCTTCGTCTGTACCAGCTTTGCCACAAGTTTCCATGAAGTGTGCGACATGTTGCTTAGGATTGTCTTTTCCGTTAAACTATTGAAGCTTCAGAGGTTGATACCCAATTGGCATTTTTAAGCTGTCAATTCTTTCTGTGTAAGGCTTTGAGTACATGCGAGCACTTTAAGGGATGCCACTGTATTGTTCTCTTATGCAATTCATTATTATGTCTTGAAGTTGTTAGACAGAAAGTAAGGTGACAAAGGCAACTTCAATTTCTTGGTTGGCGGACATGACATTTTGATCGTCAATTGGAGTGAAATCTAAAGAAGGAATCCAGCCTTGGCTTGACTCAGCAATGTCATCACGCAATTTTAACTTTTCTGTCAACGAGGCAATTTTCAAATCTTACTCATTGAGAGTCTGTTGTAGTTTTTAAATTGCACAGGCCATACTCGTCAATTTTTCTTTGTATGAGGTAGTATTCATCATCATGACTGGCATAGTGACAGAGTTAGAAAAAATCTTTGCCTTCAGTGGACCAGCCTTGAACTTGGATTTGACAACAATTTTTCTGAGATAAGTTGAACCTCTAAGTTTACATAAACTTTTTCCTTTACCCCCGGAGAGGTAAAAGTGTTATGAGTTTTATTTATTGCTTTGATAGATTTGACGGAGTTGACTCTCACCACATCGTGTTGCCTTTTGACTAGAACGGATGCTTTGGCTATGCTCTATATCATTGGACTTGCAGAGATGTTGATACCACTTGACAGAGTTACAACCTTCTTACCACCTTTTGTGGTGGTATTGATATTGCTTGCTATGACTACAGTGCCCTTGGGGGTATTTTTGCTTTTCGTCTGAATCTTGTCGGAAGCCATAAATTCTGACGAGGAGAATTTGTTGAAAATTTGATGTAGAAGAAATAGATGAGAGGCAGAGGAGGTTCCACTGAGCATGCCAGAAATTTGTACTCACAAATTTCGTATCTACAAATTAAATAACAAAATATGGAGCAAATAATAATTTTTTTAATATATGAAAATTCGAGTACAATCCTCTGAGGTATACTTTACAAAAGAAAGAAAATATCCTCTTTTTCGATCTCCTTTGTTAAATGGGTCCAAGGGCTATTGGAGCTTGATCTTGAATCGAGTTATTGACAATCTTCTTCATGTATTTGTAATTGAGGAAGACCGCCAATGATTTCTGATCGCCAATGATTTCTGATTATTAAATGGGTCCAAGGGCTACAAAGCTTGATCTCGAACAATGTTGTTTGGTGATTCTTCAAACTTGTTGAATTACTTGTTTGTTGTTCTTTGTTGAATTTGAGGAAGAATGGCATGACTTTGGATATGCTTGTTGTTCTTCGTCTTTAAAGAATTTGTTGAATTTGTGAAAGAACGACACTATTTTGCTTGTGCTTGTTACTCTTTTTCTTCAAGGATTGGGTGTTGGGGATGAATGTCTGCAGAGTTTTTGTATTTTACTTTGGAATTCTGGACTTCTGAGTCTCTGAATTTTTTACCCCTTCCTCCTTCCTCCTTCCCCATGCGTCTATTTTTATAGACTTCTTGGATGAATAAAATGATGACATATGTCCTTTCCTGATAAGGACACAATTATAACTTATCTAGGCCGGTTATATTATAATAATTATTCATTAAAATAATTATTCTTAAATATATTTAATTAAAAATAATTATATTTTTATTTAACTAACTGAATTGGGCTAATTAAATAATTTAAGTTCGCTAAGTTTTGGCCAGTTAAATAATTTAATTAAATATGAGCCTTATATTTGTTGAATCAATATATGGAGACAAAAGCCCATAAAATTTTAGTCTATGCAAGAATATGATTCACTTTGTTCTTACTTAATTAGAATCCTTGGACGTTCACTACACTAGTAATCCACTGCTACTTTCTCCATCCACAAATTGAATTATTTGATAAATTAAACCTAGAATTGGTATTCTAACAAACGCATCATCTTTCAGCTGTCACTTTTAGACTACAAAATTTTGTGGGTATTCTGTTGGATTTCACGGTTACAGTTGAAAGTGGGATTGTTAGGAGTAGTTCTGGGGTATTGTTAATCGGTTTAGAGCTTGGATCAAAGGGGTATGAGATTGTACTATTTTTAGAAAAGTTAAACAAAGGTATTTTACTAAATTTTAGCTAATCTGAATGGACTCGTGAGAATTGTTTTGTTCGAGTTTTTCCTTTTGCGGCTAGAATGCCATTTCCGCCCGCGGGTGGAGAGAAGTTTTGGATGAGCTTTGGGTACATCCATTGTTCCACTTCGGTCTCCATCTCAATTCATATTGATTTCTTAGATTTGATTTTTTATCCCAAATTTTCTTTCTTTTCTCGAATTTATTGAAATTTTATTTGAGATTTCATATCGATGCCATCTCTTTTGATAATGATTTCTTCGTTTGATTTTTATCCCAAATTTTCCAGAGCATACTCTGTTAATTCTCTCTCTATACACTTTTGTTCTCTTTATGTCATAGAAGATAATGTCAGTGTGTAAAATAATAATGAAATTGAAAATTTCAAGAATCAAACATTAAGCGGACAGGGACAATTGTACCAATTAATAAGATCATATTCCCACAAAACATGTTACCAAATTACAGCAAACTGAGTCTTTGAAAGTAAATTTATTAGATCATATTGGATTTAGTGACTCACTCGGATATTTGTAAGGTAATTTTAAACAACAATAATGTATGATGATACATTGCTAGAAATTGAGTGCCGTTCTATTTAAATTTTTTATAAAAATAAAAAATAAATTAAAAAATTAAAAAAAAAAAATAGACATGTTTAAAAATTTCACAAAATCTATAAATAATTTTGTGAAAAAAAAAAAAAAAAACTCAAGTGGAAGCATTGCCCCCACTGAGCCCTTCATGAGTGTGTGCCTGCAATGGTGGAGTCCAATTCCTGGAATGGTCAAAATGTAGAGATAGTGGGAGAGGCATTTAAGAGAGAGAGAGATAGAATATAGATAGAGTAGAAGAGAGGGGGGTTGAGGGCATTTGGAGGCATGAGGTAGATTTATCATATTGATAATTACCTGTTTTTTAGTGACTTTTATACCAAATTATTTTTGTATATATATCCTATTTGTAATATAGGCTTGAAAATTAGTTAAAAATTAAATCTTCCATTGTTTTTCTTAAAAAAATCAGAACAACTAATTCTAACTTCTAAGCTTGAAATTAGAGAAAACTATTATTTTATATTTATATAATAATATTATATTATTATTTTTGATGTATTCCTATTATATTTATATTTAATTTTCTTAAGTTTTGTCCTTCATCATATCCTATTATTATGTTATAATTCATATTTTATTTTATGTCGTACTTCAATTCCGTGTTCTAATTAGTGCTATACAAAAAATAATAATAATAATAATCACATCGACATTTTGTGATTCATGTTTTTTTTTTTTTTTACTATTTTCAAACTCCTAACTTTCCTTTGAAAAGTGTAAGAGCCTTTTACCATTATCCCACATGCCTCTTCATATTTTGTGATCCATTTACGTGCACTTCCTTGCACGTTCACTGAAACTGGCCATGATTTATACGGCGTAATAATTGATCACCACAACACAATATGCATATTAATCTTAGTAGTACTACAGCAACTAGGCCTTCAACCAAATACAATCATTGTGTTAAACTACACCTTCTTTATTCATTCTTATTCTAAATAATGGACATTCACACAAGTCCAATACGATAAGTATATATATGTATAACAAACAGTACTTCATTTCATCATATATATATATATATATAACAAACAGTACTTCATTCAATCATATATATATATATATATATAACAAACAGTACTTCATTTCATCAAGGATAAACCTCAATGAGAGGCCTCAAACCCAGTATGGGGGTTATCTTGTAGTCACTGAAACCAGCATCAAAGAAGAGTTTTGCCCATTCTTTCTCATTTCGCTCCCTACCGGTGGCCACAACCATCATCAGCATGTCGAATAAGAGCTGAGTTTCCATGGATTCATCATCTCCTTTCTCATCTTTCACCACCATATCTATGATAATCACCTTTCCACCCTTGTCCTTGCTCGGAATTGCTTCTTTGCATTTTTTCAGTATCTTCACGCTCTCTTCGTCGCTCCAATCATGCAATACCCACTGTTTCTCATTTGCACTCAGATTATCAGTAGCATAAACTTACCAAAATCATGACTGGAAATTGTGAAAATTTCAAATAGCTAGAAAAGAGAAATGGGTACCAGAGTGTAGCTTCTTTTCCTGTTTTTTTTTTTTCTCTCTCCTCTTTTTCCAACATCGGATATAGCATAAATTTCATGTAAATTTATTTTTCCAATATTTATATTAAATCTTCTAACAAGAATAGCATAACTGGAAAAAAGGTTTGAGCAGATTTCAGCTTGTGTAGGTTTAGTTTTGAAATAAGGGCAGTTCTACACACACATAGCCTTTGAACCCTGGCCTTTTTTTGAAAAGTAAGGATCTTGTACCACTGGGACACTGGGCCGTTGGTGTGAATTTTTATATCTATGAAAATTTAAATTATGAAATGAAAAACTTAAAAGTAGAGATTGGAAACCAAAAAGGTGGCTCTTTATTTTCCTCTTCCTTCACAAACCTAAGCAAATCACGCACAAGAAAAAAATAATAGTAATAAATAAATAAATAAGTTCATCTATACCTTTAACAGAGCAGCATCAGCAGGAGGAATTGCCTCAAACATGTTACCACCAACATAGTTAAAGTTGTTAGTCCCTTGCAAGCCAGCAACCACATGAGGTAAATCAATCACAGTGCAGTGCAGATGTGGGAACCCATCGGCGATGGCTTTAGCGACAGTCCCTGTGCCACCCCCCACATCAACTATTGAATTCAACCCCTCAAAAACCACCTTACAATCTTTAATAACCACACTCGCGACCAATCGGGAATCACTAGCCATGGCATCATTGAATAAATTGTTAAGCTTTGGTTCATGGGTTACATACTCCAAGATTGTCTTCCCATGAGCCGTGTCAAACGGTGTGGGATTGTCATTATGGAACCATTGGCTAACATAATGCCATGGCTCTGTAAAAATAGGATCAAGCATGGCTAGCAAAAATGGTCTCACACTCAATGGCTTGTCCTTGAGGAGTCGTCGAGAAGCGGGTGTCAGCAGATAACCATCTTCTTCGTCATTTTCGGATACCTTCTGCTTCACCAAGAAGCCAGAGTGAACTAGTATGCGCATGAGGTGATAGACAGACCATGTTTTGGCCTTGTTGATTTTGAGCACTGCAACAAGCTCAGAGAGAGTCATGGGTTGGCCATGCTGGTGGATGATGTCTGCTATGCCAAGTTGAACTGCACATTTTAGTGACATTGACTTCATGAAGTTGAATATGTGGTGCCATATGTGAGCTTGAGAGTGAAGCAGCTCTTTATCAAGCTCATCATTGGTCATAGCCATCTTTATTGAGGTCTCTAATGTTTTGTGTAAAACTCTTAAAACATTGATCTATATATAGCATAAAGACAATGCTTAGCTACTCACTGGTGAATATGGTGAAACTACTTATCCCTATGTGGTCCAATAACAAAATAACACATCACATTTAATAATAAAATAATTCACACCTAAAAACACTATATGTTTATTCAATGGTTGATCCGAGAAAGCAGAAAAAGGTGTGCATTATTTTATTATTAAAGGTAATGTGTTATTTTGTTATTGGACCACATAAGGGTGAATAGCTTCACCCATAGCTTCACCCTACTCACCAGTGAGTAGCTAAACATTATTCATAGCAGAGTAAGCAGGTCGAGCGAAGGGAGAGCGGGGCTAAGCCCCCTGCTGGCAACAACTGTCTTTTAAATTTTAGTTTCATATTACTAGTTTGGCCACAAATGAAGATGTTAACTCTGCCCACGTGAGACCATCTTCAATCGTTATGTATATATTTTTGTATAAATTTGTTGTGTTATAATATATTTACATAAAAAAATTTGAATTATTTAAGCAAACCTACTAAATATAGATTGATTAGTTAATGGAATGAGAAATATGTTGATGTGACTGTGTAAAAAAGAGGTATAAAATACATAACAATTTTACAGATTGGTGGCGTCCTAGTGTATCTTAACAAAGTATTGAAAATAAAATAAAAAAATTTACATATATGACCGTGTATATTTTATATAAAAAAAAATATTTTAACAGATTACTAGAGATGATTCCAGAAAATTGGAGTTCATAGGATAAAATAAGAATGAAAAACACGACCACTATCTCTTGGGGCCAAAAGCCCCGTGTATTCTTTTGCTCATCATATACGTACAAATTTATTGCATGGACCACACTAGTGATGTTATGGTTGTGGAGGCTATTTCCCTTAGATGGATTATAAGTCACTTCCGTCTCCATCTCATTTCATATTTGATTTCTTTGATTTGATATTTTATCCCAAATTTTCTTCTCTTCTCGAATTTGTTGAAATTTCCTTTGATATTCCATATCTATGCCATCTCTTTTGATATTGATTTCTTCGTTTGGATTTCTATCCCAAATTTTTTGGAGCATACTCTCTTAATTTTCTCTCTATGCACTTTCGTTCTCTCTCTGAGTCTGAGTCATAGAAGATAACGTAAAGGGTAATTATGGAATTAAAAATTTTAAGAGTCAAACATTAAGTGAATAGGAACAATTTTGTAATTTTATTTTCAATAAATAAAAAAGTGGAGCGCACGTGACTAAAATCTAGTTTAAAATTAATATCTAACAAAGTAATTAAATAATTGTAAATTTTAAAACATAAAATTGACTCAAGGTAAAAGAGATAAAAATGTATAATTTTAAATTAAATTTTACAATAGGAATTCAATTGTTGATAAGTTCATTTTCTGTGACGACCCTGGTTTTTAGGCCAGCGTGTCTTATGATGAACCGTAAGGATGATTCGATAACGGATTCGAATGCGGAAGCAAAAACAAAAAACAAGACTCTAAAAAGTCAAAGTGATCTTCCATGAGGTCGTGGAACTCAACAAGAACTGATGCGGAAGCAAAAGATCAAAAATGTGACAAATAAGCCCCCCAGGGGCAAAATAGTCATTTCTGAAAATTGTAGATTCGGGTGCCACCGAGCACACCGCTGGAAGGAAAACGAAAAACTAATCCAGATGGACTCAAGAATCACATGATTCGAAGTCCGGACGAAGGAGAAACGGCATAACGAAGAAAAACGAGCACTTAAGGCAAAAAGGATAAACTGATAATTATTCAGGAAGAAATGGGTGCAACCGAGCATACCGTTGGAAAAACAGCAAAAAATTAGTCAAGTTAAAAAAAAAATTCACTTGAATCGAAATTCGGACGAAGGAGAAACGCCCAAAAGAAGAAATGACGTCGCGGCGGCCCGACGAGGGGCCATGGCGCACACGGCGCCCATGCGCGAGCCCACCGGCGTGCATGCCGGCTCCCAAAGACATGGCATGTGGCAGCCCTTGGCTGCTGCTACATTTTTTTTGATCTACTCAGAACTAAGGCTTGAAACGGAGGTCAAGACGAGTTTTTCTGGAAAAATACGAAGAAAAAACCCCCCCTAAAATTTAGTTTTCTACCCGACAGCGCAAACGGAATCGAAAAAAACTCACTGTGAAATCCCGAAAATGCCCCTAGATCAGAACTGAACAAGAGGGTCATAAAGCTGCTAAATCAAAACTGGAAGCTGAAACTTCACGAGGGATTTCCGGTACCAAGACGACCTTTTCTGGAAAAATACGAAAAAGAAACCCTCCCACCCCCCCCTAAAATCACGTTTTCTAAGCGACCATGTCAAAAGAAGAAAATAAAACTGAGGTGAAAGGTCCATAATGCCCCTAGATCAGAATATGCAAAAAAAAAATGCGAAATGAATTCACAAGAGGCTCAAAACACAAACGATAAGGTTTTGCCCGGAAACGACCATGCACGCAAACGTAACTTACCTATTTGGATGTGCTACAATGGTCCACGACTTGAATATACCACCGATACAAAATCCGACCCCCCAACGGGCAAAAAGGCAAAAATGGAACTTAGAATGAAAACTCGGAATCCAAAAATACAAAACGGGGTCAAATGACCGTTTGGCCCCTGGCCACACTTCATACAAGATTAATAAGACCCTATGAAAGAATGAAAATGGAATTCCCACACCCGATGCAACCATGGTGAAGTAATGACTTGCGATTTTTCAAGGTTTTCATAACATTTTATGAAGTTAAAAAGTTGTATAAAATACAATATACATGTCATTGGCCTCCGGCCTCATCTCATACATATCAAATACATTGAAAAGAGTGTACTTAAGTACACATTACATACATGGAATCAAACATACATATTTTGACATATAAGTCTACCAAATGACATTTCATGCTAACATTTGAATGAAATGGAAACTTGAAAGCTACTCGACATCCAAGGAATGCTAGGCTTCACGAACCAAGTCTTCGTACCTGAAATATGCCCCAGTATCATAGGGGTGAGTAACATAAAGCTACTCGTAGGAGATGAGCATGCATCGACCTAACATTTTACAAATTTATCACCTTAAGGTGAAACATGTTAAAGAGGCTCATGCCACCTAACGTCTATGTCTAAGTGAGACTTGGGGAGCATCCTAAGCTACCTTAGAGTCTAAGCAACAAGAATCATGATATACATACGTGTATGAAACGAATCATGGTTGGGATAATCTAAAGAACACGACAAGAAGAATGCTTGAGCATATATTAACATGAATTGCATTTTCAATACAATTGAACTAGGTCTAGAGTAATCCATACAACATAACAAAAGCATATTTTAATACAAGTTAACAAGAATCACATTATCCATGCAATTCAACAACAAAAGAGCATGTTATATAATGCAACAAGGTTTAAGTTCTCAAAGCCATCAACTTAGAATCTAAAGCACAAAATAACAGTAGTGGTTCATGCCGCCTAACGTCTATGTTATAAATGAATCAATAGGAGCAATCCTAAGCTTTATTAGAACGTCAAAACACGATTTTCAATATCGATGCAATTTAACCAACATTGGAACTTCCAATACAACGCATAAAGCACAATTTCGAAAAGTTAACATCCTGTAACTTAAAATGGAACGACAAATAAGAAACAACAAGTTACAACATCATCTAGTTATCAACTTGAAAATTAAATGCGAAATCAAACAAAGTGGATACTCGGACGTCACGCCGGATCAGACCGACAACATAGTTACTTTAGGGTTACTAGCCCATAGGTAACCTCCCTATGTGCGCACTAGACTATATATAGAGGGACTATCCCCCATACTAGAACCACGTCCTAGCCATAGCCAAACAATGACATCCCCAAGTTTTCAAAATCAACAAGTTGTGCAACAACGCATATATCAACAGGAATATGCAAGATAATCAACTATCTACCAGGCACAACCAAATTTGGAAACCTATACAATACATGCTCTAAGTTCACAACTAATATGATGTGATGAATGTCGAATCTTCAGTGTGTGATTCGTTACACGCTATGCATGAATGATGTTAGACACGAAGTGTGCAAATCATTACACAAGGCAACAATATATTCAATAAGGAAAACATATTCTCATGAATACAAACATAATAACTATGTTATCCAATGTTCAAAATATAGCCAAATGAATATATAACAAGTCTAAGTCCATGATTTGAATATAGAAACCACTTCTAAAGCACAACTAGATCATGGAGCAAATTGATAGAATTTAAATAGATAAACACAATTAAATTCTCTAGATTCCGATTCAATTCCAAATAACCCCAATTTAGTACATATTAAAGGACATGGCATGGTCATCACCTATATCCATTCTAAAACTCAATTAGGTTGTTGGAACAACAAAGTAGAACTTTAATTAAATCATGTTAATTTAATTACCAAGGTTCTAAAACAACTTTTAATAGTCCCAAATTAATATATACTAGTAAACAAGTCATGGCCAATACAAATATCAAGTTAAAACCTTAACTAAGCTAATGGGACCACAAAATAGATTTTAATTAATTCTTTTAATTAAAATCTCTTGATTTTCAAACTTAACCAAATGCTCTCAAATTAACCTATGTTGGAAAACATGCCAAGGACTAATGTAATACCACATTACAAGTTTATTTCATTCAATTTACGACCATGCGAATTAAACCTTCACTGAAATTAAATATAAAACAAAAGTTGCAATTCTCATACAATAAATCCCAATTTAATACATGTGAACAGCCATACCAAAACTTAATTTTCTAGCATGCCACAAAACAATTCCAAGTTGTATATCACCATGAGGATTAAATCTTAAACATGGAATTTAATTAAATAAAAGGTTTCAAAACCTAACCGAATATTCTAAATTGAATATATGTGAAACTATATGGCATGTAAATCAAGAATATCAAGTCGGAAT